AATTCCATCTTTGGCTAGGATTCCCACACATGTACCAGCATTGTTGATTGCTTCAATGGCATATTCAACCTGGTCGAAAGAAGAACAAGTGGAAGTGGACAGTTGGTAGTGTCAGAAACAGCACAATCCAGAGCGACGGCACCCAATCGACCATGTTGTATCTTTCGAAAATAAAAGAAAGCACAGAACTCATTCTCAGTGCGAGAACCTACCTGATGCAGACGGCCCTCAGGCGAAAAGGTGGTGGTGGATGAATCGTATCGACGGGCCATGGTGAAAGACTCTCAAAAGATAGCAGCAACAGCGTTGTGACGGCAAGCAAAGATAGCAAGAGGCCGCAGATCATGGGCCGAGAGACGAGATCCTTGGCCTTCGAGACACTTCGTTGAGATTAGCCTTAACCCTTTGTTTTCCACGCCGATACTCCACGGTCTCGAAGAAGGCCGCCTTTCGATCCATCACATTCGGCTTTTTTTCAGCGTTCGTCTCCTGTTTCCTCAGTTTGCTCCCTACTTGGATCCATATGACGAATACATGCAATCCAGCCATTGTAGCCAGCCACGGTACCGTAGGCAGAGAGTTACATTGATCGGCGACAGTGGCAACAGTACCGAACACACTCAGGTTCGGCTTTGCTCGCTGCACTCGGTTACCTCGCATTGGATCCTTATGACGAATACATGCACAAAACCGAATATTGTTAATCCAGCCATTGTAGCCGGCTACCGTACAGTTACATCGGCGACAGTGTCAACAGTACCGAACACACTCAGGTTCCGCTTTGCTGGCTACACTCCGGTTGACGGTATCATGCATTGGATCCTTATGACGAAAACATGCACAACCGAACATTATGAATCCAGCCATTATAGCCGGCTGCGGTATAGCTACATCGACGACAGTGGCAACAGTACCGAACACACTCAGGTTCCGCTTTACTGGCTACACTCCGTTACCGGTACCTTGCATTGGATCCTTATGACGAATACATGCACAACCGAACATTGTCAATCTCCAGCCAGTCGTTGACATGTACATACAGGAAAATGGGTACCAACACAGGAGTCACCACCAAAACACTGGGAAATAACACTGGAGGGATGAATCCGATAGGAGGATCCACTCTCTTCTGTGCGTACGAGTGTTGTCGTGTGGCCTCCTCCTGTTGCCATTCAATGACTCGACGATGATCCGTTCATGCTGTTGGTAGGGCTGGAGTTAACAGAGACTTCTCCGTAGTGGTAGCCTCGATCGTTCGTTCGTTCGTTTGTTCGTTCGTTCGTTCGTTCGTTCGTTCGTTCGTTCGAAAAGGAGTCCTCGACAATGGGATTTCCTCAGCCGTCGGCAGTGCAGCAGAGAAAACAACAAATAGATATGAGTTTTGTTTTCTGTGCTGAACTGCAGACGACCGGAGACTTACCCTTGCTTTTCAAATTGCACCAACTTGGCCATCGTGGGCCGAGATCTGACTGCCATCCCATGGTCCATATGATTCAATGAGGGATGGCTTTCGAATCTGCACCGGAGAAGGACGGCTTGAGTGAGGCTTGAATACCAGAGATAATAGAGGCGCAACCCATCGATTCGATTCGATTCGATTCGAATAATTTAAAAAGAACTCACCTGTTGTCGGCCGAGATCTGACTGCCTGCCCATGGTCCATAGAAATGAATGAGGGATGGCTTTCAGTTATGCACCTTCAACAAACACTCTTGATAATAGGCTTACCCCGTATTGTCAGTCGTTCGTTCGTTCCAACACCATTCTTGTCGGCCAAGCTTGGATTTCTCTCCTGTTTGCCATAGCAATTCAATGAGGGAGAGAAGTCAGTGCTGCACCTTCAATGATGGACTTGAACGGTACGCGGTACATACATGTGCAGGCAATCAGTTTATCCTTAACCTCAGTAACTTCAAAGGTTCTTTTATCCACGAATCGATCTAAATCTTTCGAAAGGGAACTTGTTACATAACGATACACAAGACCGTAAGCGCACACACACATGTGTACAGACGTTAAACAACGTTAAATACAGGTTTCGTACTTACGGATACACATGACCGTTGATTCTGCAACTGAAGTGCGGGTACACTAATTTACACAGTAAACGCGAGCCAATCGATTTCAGAGTGCAACTGAGGGGCAACCTAAAGGAGCGTGGTCTCAGGAGACGTAATTCCCCCAACTACGCTTATAAACCTGTCTTCCTGGCAGGGCATGTTGCTTCTTGGCTACTCTCGTAAAACGTGCCACATACATTGAGGCCTCTGGCTAGAGTACCAGCAGGCCAACGCTAGCCAGCTAGCGCTCATCAACTGCCGGCATTCTTTGGCATCAAATAATGCGGCATGTGTTGGTGGCTGTGCAGGTGTTACAGCAGAGATTCCAGTGTTGTCAAATAATGGTTGCCGCAGGAGTTGTGCACTGATCACTGATGATGCTGCAAATTTTGCCTAGACTAGTCCACGACAGCTTCCACGACCATTCCGCAATCGGTCAGCCGTCAAACCGCCATCAAGGCCACCCAAAACTGGGCGGCGTGGTCCAGCTAGCGGAGTACACGTAGTCTTGACTGTCGAACCAAACTAGATAAGATGCTGGTAGTAACACTTCCTCGTCTTTTGGTTCTATCCCAAAATTCGAGGGAAGTTTATCGATGATGATCTAGCTACTAGGACTTACTTTCTCACTTTCTCAAGGAGCCCAACCGGCTACTCATCAGTAGCTAGCCAGTCAGGATTAGACAGGTGGCCGGGTGGACCTGGGGTCGGAGTGCCTCAAGGGCCCAAGGGACCTTCATCTCATCCGTTTTACATCCTGCTTCTAAATCAAGAAGGGCAACGGTGATCAGATGATCAGATGCAATCTATTGTCGGACTGAGCCGACTGAGATTGTTTCGATGTTGTAGATGGCCAAATACTGTAGTAAATAGGCTCTCGATCCGACCTTAGCTCTGAGCATCATGCTCAGCATACTAATAGCTTCCAGATGCAGGGGGTTGTTGGCGTTTGTCAACAAAAACATTACTACTAGTACAAGTAAGTAAGTGGAAAGCGCAGCAAGTAGCAAGACCATAACGACCCGATTTGGACGCCATCTCGTTCTTCACGAACTTTTGATATCGATTGGTTGCAGTGCCCTCCACGAAAGGCCTAGCTTTAGCCCTTGTTGACATTCTTTGATAGCTCTTCGAGTCCAGCATGAAAAGGATATGAAAGCAGCAATTCCCCCACTCCGTAGACGATTAGCACGACTGGAGTCATGAATCATTACTGTCTACCAGGTAGTCAAAGTCAGTCGAGTCCCGGAAATAGTTTTGGAGGTGGGGAATTGCTTGACTAGGTGGACCACTGTGGACCGCAGCGGTTACATGTAAAATACGAGCAGGTAGAATCTGATGTCTTAGAGAGCTCCAGTGAACTTGTCAATTTTAGGCTTTCTCTAGAACATCTTTATAGCCTGTATTCCTTACTCTGATGGCCTATCAAACTATTTAGTTAATGGTCTCATCTACTGCCGGCAGAGTAATCTTGGTTTGACTTCTAATTACTATCAGAACGCAGTAGTCTTAACATGTCTTGACTTCTGTTTCAACTTGTCTCTGGGAAATCCCCATATGCCATTCTTTTCCAACGATTCACACTTGCAGCTCAATGCACTGCCCAAGCCAGATTCTTTTCCTGGAGAGAAGCTGGGCTTTAGTCTTTGGCTCTTCTCCATTCTCTCATTCTCTGCAGCTTTCGCTTTACAAAAAGCTCTCACACGAACTTCAGAGCTACTTCGGCCACCCAGCAAGAGCAAAGAAACAAAAGAAACAGCAATTGCAAGAAAAGATGAAGCGAACGTTGAAGTTGACCATGGCCGATCCAGCGGATACCCGCGACCGCAACGAGGTACCATCCCATGACACTCCTGATACCGTTATGCATGCTTCGAATCATCACAGCAAGAGGGGTTTCTCTGAAGGTTCCCACCACACATCTAGTGGTAACGATAGCCCGGCGATGATCGGTCAAGACATTCGTCCGCTCAAGAGGGCACGGGTGACGACCGCCCAGCACAATGAAACCTGTACTGCCAACAATGCCGTCAGATGCGCTTCTGGTACTGAAGATAATGGCGTCACGTCCACCGAAGAGGATCCCATTGGCACCTTGAAGACCAAAGCCGCACTTCTTCGCGATCAGCAAAAGTTCGGCGAAGCCAGGGACGTTCTAGAACAAGTTCTACCCTTGGTTACTGGCCAGGCGCTGATGGAAACCCTCACCGATCTAGGAAGCCTGTGTGCAGACTTTGGAGACTTGGACTCGAGCATGAACTATCATAACTTGGCATTGAACATGTACTTGGATCAATCCAACTCTCAGGCTGCATGTGCCCCCTGCTATGGCAACCTGGCAATTGTGAACCTCCGACATGTGGCAGCCATTTATCTTCGATTCAACCGTTGTCAAGAAGCTCTCCTATGCTACACCTTTATCTACAAGATCCAACAAGAGACCGTTAGAGCTCCCCTCCAAGAAATGGCCTCGACGTTGAGCTGTATTGGGCTCATGCACTACCTCATGGAACGGTTCCCAGAAGCCTTGAGATTCTACCAAGAAGAGCTGCGACTACGTTTGCAGCTTCACGATGGAGATATGGAACACGAAGACGTGGCCATTGCCCTCAATTCCATTGGCATTGTCTACTTTCAGTTGGAGAACCTCGATCAGGCTCGTCAGTCCTTCCAATCTTGTCTGCAGATTCGGCAGAGATTGCTCGGTGATGGCTGCAGCTTCAACAAGACCGACGACGATGACGCACATGCATCGTCGTCTCCCTCCAAGATGACGAGTGATCCTCATTGCTGTTGCTACGACCTGGCCATGGTGTACTTCAATTTGGCAGCGATTGCCATGAAGCAAAGTGACGATGACCAAGCCGCGCGGTTGTACCATCGCTCCATGGAACTCAAAAAGGCAGTCTTTGGTCCGCATCATCCCGAAATTGCCGTGGACTATCAGTACTTGGGACAGCTCTTTTTGGATCACGGGGATTCGCAAACAGCCATTGAGTACTACACCGAAGCGCACAAGGTGGTTCAGATTCTGGGAAACAGCGCGGCTGGAGACAACGGTAACCAACAAGCCAAGTCGGCGGCGCAAAAGCTGCTGGTGATTATTGGGAACATTCACCTCTTGGACGCCAACGTGCAAGGCATGATGAGTAGCTTTCAGCAAGCTGCGAGGTTGGAAACAAGTGAGGATAGCGGAAGGGAATTCATGGAACAAGTACGAGTCTTTGGGTATCATCTATATTCTATTAGTCGCATGCACCCTCCATGTGCTGCAGAAGCCTAATAAGTGAATGATAGTCAATCAAGCTACCAGATACCTAACTACTTCTAACTACTTGATAAATGTCATGATTCGCTGTACCGTGCTGTTTTCACTGAGCATGCCACATTGAGAGCGAGAGATCGAGCCCGAGTCAGACAGAGCTCCAAGCAATCTCAAAGGATACTACCACAGAAAGCTAGCGAATCGCAATGTGCCTTTGGAATTTGAAACCACGAGCTCTACAGCAGCGCTATGCATAGCCTCGATGTCGACTGCGATCTAGCTAGCTAGCTACAAGTAAAGCTTTTCCATTTCTTCGGACAGAGCTCCAATCTCAAAGGATACCGTACCACAGAACTACTGGTACCATACCACAAGCTAGCGCAGCGTTTGAATGCCACGAGCTGCAAACAAGCGCTATCACTAGACAAGATTGCATACAAATGGCTGCCCTCTTCATCATTGACAGCCTCGATGTTGACTGCGACTCTGGCTTGGTTACATTTACATGTGATCTAGCTACTAGCTAGACTTCTCGCGAAGCAATCCAGACCGCGGGACTTGGACTTCAAGTTTGGTTTTGCGATGGCAGCTGTCAGGAGCTTGTCAGATCAAATCGCAATGAGCCTTTGAAATTTGAATACCACGAGCTGTAGGTACACAAGCGCTTGGTATCACTGGACAAGATTGCATACAAATGGCGGCCCTCTTCATTGACGGCCCTCTTCATCATTGACAGCTGTCTCGTCTGCTAGCTAGTCTACCGTGGTGGTAGCTAGCTACATGTACTTCTGCCTCAGCTTTTCCATTTCTCGGCCTAGCTAGGCAGTGGGTGCCTCTCCGCAACCGGACCGCGGGACTTGGACTTCAAGTTCGTTTTGTTTGGCAGCAGCTGTCAGGGCGTCAGGTCACACACTCGGGTCAACCGTTGCAGGAACCTTAAGTAAACGGGTTCTTTTCCGCCGACAGACGCGCCGTCTTTTTGAGTTTTCCGCGCTCATCTTTTGGTCAAACGACGAAAGACAGCTTTTGGTCAAAGGAGATCGATCATTTCTCCCCATTTGCAGCACAACTCTCTTTCCCCAAGAGCCTGGTTCTGCATCACACGTCAAGACTCGACTCTCTCTTCTCCTGTTTTCGATCCTTCTCCAAGCACAGTCTTCCACTGCAGCAGTGGTAGCTAGCTAGTTGGAGGAAGAAGCTCAACAAGCGGAAGACAACAGCAGCAACAGCCCCAAAAACGGAACGCCGAGAACCAGCATTCTACGTGAGCTGTCTCTGAAGCGCCACCATGGTGAAGTACACAAAACTCGATGTCTTTGAGACCATAACAGTTCATGAAGACAAGCTGGTATTGAATGGGGTCACAAGCAAGCGCTACGAGCGCGCATCACTCGATCTCTCTGCAAAGAACGTCCTGGGTTTAGAACGCCTGGCCAACAAGGCCCCAGCTGAGTACTCGGACGAAGACAAGGATGCCATTTCACGTGCACATGATGAAATGACAGGGCCGTATAATGCAATGACAGGGGTCGGCGGCCACAAGCTTCCGGGTAAGCTACTCTACAAGAATGGTGGCATCACGCTCAACGAGGACGAGGATTCCAAGCAGTTATTCACACTCAAGCACACGTCCAAGCTGCAGGTTGCCAACCGTGAACTGCGCGTCATAGCCATTTCACGAGCCAAAGCTTTTATTTACGGGCCACATGGTGGATTTGTCGTCAACCACAATTATCGCCCAGGTGAGGAGAAACTCCCAAACGATCTGCGCCATGCGCTCCAGAAGAACTTTGAATTCAGTGTCAGAGAATTCAATCTTCTCTTCAAGACTGGCCGATACCGTAACCTTGCTGTTCCGTTTCACAATGCTCCTGAGATCAATCCAGCGCACCATGGACGGGACAATTTCTTCCTCACTGCCTCCTCGCTCAAGGATCTCCACGCTTACAACCGTTGCCTGAGTCGCCAAAATGACATGAGTCGTCGTGTGTCCTTGGAGGAATACAAGGCACTGCAATGTCTCGCCACCATTGTCGCGGCGGACAACACTCTCACAAAGGACAACGTTGAGAAGAAATGGGAAGACCTGACACGAGATTGCTCCAAGGCCCTCGAGTTTTCCAAGGAGGATCTTTTCAATGACAGCGGTTTTCGGTTTCGCACGATGCAGCCAACCAAGGACGGCGACGGAGACCTCCAGTTCTTGGCACTTCAAGTTGGAGTAGGGTTTGTCTTCAAGACTGTCCTACACGAAAAGGATGATCGGCTTTGCAAAAAGGTAGAGCTTTTTGCGAATGATCGTTTGCACAACTCCTACCTCTTCAATGTTGACGATCTCCGCGTGATTCTGCGCGGGTACTATGTCAATGAGAGCCTGGAACTCGCTCTTCTTATCAAGAACGCAGAGCATAGCAAAATCCCGGAACACCTCAAACCAGATGGTCTGATTTCTGCCGGAAACATCCTCTCCGATGAAGAACTGCAGCTCTTGCTTGCTGGAGCCACAGAGTCTGCACTTCGTTTCACGCAAGAAGAGATTGGCGTCATTGCAAGTGTACAAAAGCTGCGAGATGAGAGCCGTCCTGAGGCCAAGACTTTCCTTGAAGAAAAGCGATCTGCTGGATTGACCTTGCCCAGCTGGGACGACTTTGTGGATGGAGCTTTCAGGGTGGAAGAGAAAGAAGCTGGTCAAGAAGTTGTTTCGATTCGTCGCGGTGATGTCTTCAAGAAGCTCGCGCCTAAGGATGGCTTTGGCAGTGTTCTCACACGGTTGATTGACGGTGATCGTATCAGCCGCAAAGAGATGAAAAGACGACTGGATGGCCATGACTACAACGGACGCGATCTCGACCTTGCCATCATTGCGCCAAATGTAGTTGTCGCGAGCCCGCGAAAACGCTCTGAGGCGTACAAGGCGAAGAAGAAGAAGAAGAAGAGGGACAAGCGACGCATCAGCGGAGCAAGCGCCGCAAGCGCCAGCACAATGGGCAGCGTCCCTGACCAGCTGGATCCACCACCACAACCACTGTTTCCGCAGGAGAGCGCCACTTTGCCGGTTGTTGCGTCGGCGCCAGGACCGCAACCAATGGTGGTCCAGCGACAGAACAGTATGGCCGGTCTTGCAGCAGCATATGGCCCACCGGTGGCTACTGGTGGCGGCTACCCGGCGACAATGCCACTTCCAGGAGGAGTCGTCCCACCAAGGTACAATGTCCTGCCCTGTGGTCGTCAAGGGCCACAGCTGTCACCCGAAATGTTGACTGTCCAAGTCATGGCAAACCTGGCTGCTCAAGGCCAGCATAGTGCGCTAGTAATGCAGGCATCTCAAGAGCGTCGCGATAAATTTCTAGCGGAAGAAGAAACAAAACGTCGACAACAGGCGGCAGAAATAGAAAAGGAACGTCTAAGAGTGGAAGCGGAACGTCTAAGAGTGGAAGCGGAACGTCTAAGAGTGGAAGCGGAAGAAGAAACTAAACGTCGAACAGTGGAAGCGGAACGTCGAAGAGTGGAAGTGGAAGAAGAAACTAAACGTCGACAACAGGCGGCAGAACACGAACTTCAACGTCAAAAGCTGTTTGCTGAAACCATTCTAAGTCTCAGTGCAACACAACAGAACAACAACCGCTCGGAAAACAACAACCAGTCGCAAAGCAACAGCGTGTCACGAGATGATCGTGATCTTAATGCGAAGCTAGACAGCATTTCAGCCAAGCTCAACGAGGGTGAAGCTAGACGCCAGCAGGACGAAGCAAGACGCCAAGAGTCCACCGCAGCTGTCCAGAGCCAGCTCCGTGGTCTCACTCAGACTGTGACTCAATCTATGAGAGCTCCTGGGCCACGCCTCCATGATGCGGAGATTACTGAAAATCTTGCTGTCCCTGGTGCCCGAACCAATCTAATGGGGACCTTCAACAAAGTGGCCGCACCGGGAACGACTGCAACTGGTGCCCCAGTGGAGGCTGTTTCTTCCGGTGAGAGTGGAGCTGGAGTCGTCGATACGCCACTTCGCGCGGGGGGACCCTTCACCGATGCTGGTACAACCACCCCAACGCCCGTAGCTGGTCGCAATGATCCGATGGCGGAGACTGTTGCGGAAAATGGTGAGCGTCCAGACAGCACGGTTGGTACGACGCAGCAAGCCACTTCTCCGGTTGTTGATCCTCCGACCGCAACCGTCCACCAAATTGCGCCAGGACCTGGAGCTGGCGTCGCCGACACGCCACTTAGTAGCAATGGTCTTATCGTGGAGACTGTCCTCAGCCCTGCTGACATTGGAGCCAGTAGTGCGACGGGTGGGTTGTCGCCATCCCAGTATCAAACGCCGATTCGGACACAATCTACCGACACGACGGCTTTGCCTGTGGAAGCGTCAGTCCAGCCTGCCACGACGACTGCACCTGTGGAAGCCCCCGCAGCAACCAATGGGGAGGATGTTGTTGTGTCAGGAACAATGGGCGCGCCTGAACATGTCTCGGTCGTGTCAGGCTCAAGCGAAGCCTTGGCAGCCAGCTTTGATATGGAAGCGCCTGTGGGAGCCCCTGTGATTGCTGCTTCGGTCCAGCCTGCCACAGTTGCCGCGACTGAAGAAGTCTCATTGGTCTTGCCAGGCTCAAGCGAGGCCTCGGCAGCCACCAGCTTTGATGTGGCAGCGCCTGCGGGAGCCCCAGTTGCTGTGTCAGGGACAATGGCCGCGCCTACATCGGTGTCAGGAACAATGGCCGCGCCTGAACAAGTCTCGTCGGTCGTGCCAGGTTCAAGCGAGGCCTCGGCAGCATCCGTCGATCCGCCAATGAGCCGCTCGTCAGATCCACCTGGCCAGGTTGCTGGTGACGTCCTAGAAGACGAGAAAAAGGATGACGACGATGAGGCCCAAGAAGACAATGATGAAAACATTGTTCTTGAAGTCCGTCCTCCAGAGCCCGCAAATTGGAGTGTGGAAGCAAACGAGAGCCTCGCTTTCGTAGCCGGCAAGTGGTATCTTGTTGTAGAAGGCGGCAATGGCCGCAAGATTGTCCCATTCATGCGGGCTGGGCGCCCTTGCCACAATTGCCGGCGCAACCTAAAGAAGGAGGGTGGCAAGTACTGTGGTGCCCAGGGACACAGCACTAGCGGGGAGCAGCTTCAGAGCCTTTTATGAGATGAGTTTGATGAGTGACGACAAAGCAAAGACACAAGCAGCCAAAGAGAAGGAATTGGGATTCGGCCTTAGGCCTCAGGCTTTGGCGGAAACCTTTCTCGTACCGTAGCAAATAATCAGTATAAGATGCATGTTCAATAATCTATTCGGTAGCTGCGCTCTTGTCTTCATTCAACGGTTGTGATCGTACTACTTGCTAGGTGAATCCAATCTGCCCACGATGAGGACTTGGTCCAAATTACACTGTACCGTTTTTTCCTTGAGGATACTACCGGTAGGGAAGCAGCTCTAGCGGTCACTCGAACGCCTGTTCTTGCCGCAGATGTCTTATAGGTGCTAGAGAAGAGTCACTGCGTCAGTTTCACATTGCAGGAGTGGATATTGCCAAAGATTCACTGCTTCTTTTGGACCTGGGTTGGGTCCTTGGATATCCCGTCGCGAAAACACTTGTAACTCGATTGGCCGTAACTTAGTCAATGTTTGGAACTGGAGGCTGGCGCTTGGCGTCGCTTGTATCCCTTGGTCACCTCTTTCAGGTTTGCTATGACCACTCCTGCCCCAAAACGGAGTGTCGCGCGTCGTCGTCGTTCCTTTTGGTGGCCTTTTTGCTCTAAAACTGGGCACTGTCTCATTCAGTCGGTCCAAACTCGATCAAATCCAGTTGGATTCCTCAGTTCAGGGACAAATGATGCGGCTTGATGTCCTCTTTCCAATGACATCTTGTACGCCTTCGAACTCCTTGTCGTTGTGAAGTTGCATTTCATCGTGTTGCCATACCGTGCGGGGTACCGGTATCGGTTAGGGTGAGGGAAATTGAGATGTTGCGATTTTTCTGTCGGGCTGTTGAGCTGGGCCTTCTATTGAGGCTAGCCACACCGCTGCTGCGCCTCTCCTCTCACTCTGTTCTTCAGCGCTGTATTAGTCTACAATAGACAACTCGTCTTTGCGATCCATGTGCCACATAGACTATTAGCTAGTTAGTACATTACTTATGCTATCGTTCGGGTACGGAATAGTTCCATGATTACGCCTCCACCTCTGTGAGGACGGCTAACGGTTCTTCTCCAACCAACGCAGGCACCAGTTCATCTCTGCCAGTGGTTGCTTCTCCTTCTTCAATTGTGCAATCGACTGGTTCCACCACAACCAGAGTCCCCCGATTCCCCTTCGTGATTCGAGTTGTGTCACTCAGGTAGAGGATATCCAGGTGCCCCTTGGGAGCCCGCTTCATTTCAAAGTGGACTGAATGGTCTTGTGTGTTTTGCATCTCTTCATCCGAAGGCAGCGTCATTTGAAACCACCACGCCATCATAGATCGTAGCGTTCGGCTCAAAATGTTTCTTTCCAGTGCAGCTTTTTCGTAGGCTCCTTCAAAGGTCTCCATCCAAACATTCATCAATTCTTCGTTCATCAATACCTCTCGACTGGGCATCAAAGTGGATCCTTTGAATGTCACCTTCATTCGATGCGGCTGCTTCGGGCATTCGTAGCATATGGCATCATGACTGACAACGGCCGGGAGATCCTCACCATTAGGAGTATGAACGGTCAAATCCATCATGACGGGGTACTCGTACATTTTGAACTTTCCCGTTTTGGTTGCAATTCTGACTCGAATCGATTGCCTTACAGATCGTATAGTGCATACCAGACTGTGAGGCTGAAACACGCCAAAGGACAATCGGCCCAGAGTGTACTGGATTATCTCCTTGTTCTGCGTCTTGATACGTCCCGGAAACTCGGGGATGGTATGACAGATAAAATCTCCCACCAGGAGTGGCGACTTGGTGGGTTCCGCCGTGGGATTGTGGGGAGTTAGTTCATCAATGGCTTGTTTGACCTCTTTGTGTTTCGTGGACCCAAAATGCTTCTTCAGAAGCGTCTTGAGCTTGCCTTCGAGCTTGATGTGAGGACTGCTACCACTCGCACGACGGATACTGCTGCCTCTTTTGGCGGCGGCACCTGCAGTGGTATTGGTGGTAGTAGTATGGGATGTCGACGACTGTTGCATTGGCAAGAACGTGGAGGAGCCAGTTTCTTGACACATGAGAGTGGCCTTTGGAAGCACGATAACCAAGAGGGGTAGAGCAGCGAAAAGGTGGATTTGATGGTTCTCGGCACGGTTTTGTGGTTTTATGAGAGGTATGGATTATGGAGAGTGCAATGCAAATGCCAGATACCGGTGCAGGTATGATTTATTTGTGAACAAACTGTAGATTGCTTTCAAGTGAGATAAAGAAGGTGTCAATTGCTTTTTAAAAAATCAGCCGCACTTTTTGCGCTTGTGGTCTTGAGGACTACAGTATGTCTATGACAGCTCTACGGCACGATTTCTGATGTTGTGTGGTGGTTGGGGTGTTGGGATTGGATTTCTATTGCATTGATGCCTCTAAGATTCCTTCGCCTTCTATGGGGCAGTAACAAGTCTTCTTGGTATGCGCCTACAAGTACCAACTCGAGTAAAAGCAAAAGCATTCTTCAAAGAAAGCAGATGCTTGTTCCACAGGCTCCCACAGGCAATATCGATGCCAAGAAAAGATCTGTTGTTGCGAAAAGTCGGGAGTATTGGGCTATTTACGGGGAAACTGGATTGCACACAAAGGCGTCATTGAGTGGGTCATCTGTTCTGCTTTCTTCAAGGAACAGCCATAGATTTAACAACGAAGATGCCGAAGAACAGTCAAGGGCATGTCATACAGCCGACAGGTTCTCAAGTAGTGCTGATTGCTGAAGACAAGTGCTGAAGTGCGTCCAGTGGCCAACCGTGGCTGCGTACGCGACAGTCCGCATCTCCAGCTGCTGACTCGGACTGGAGACTCTTGCTACTACATGTATTAGCTAGCTAGCCTCTTGAAAGATCTCAGAGCGGCACAGTAAATAAGCTTTTCAGAGTGGATCTGTGTTGGGTACCGATACATGCATGCCCAGCTAGCAGATCTCGGCCAGCCTATTCAAAGGATTTGGTCTGCCAGCACCTAGCTAGCTAGCTCCAAGAGTGGTAGATTGAGTTTTTTTTTAAGAGTCACCCGATTGGCAATGTAGTAACACGAGCGAGGTGCTGAATTGGCTATGGCGAAAAGAAAGCAATCACCGAGCCAACTTGCTTGGCTAGTTTAGGTGCCAAGGCAAGTGCTGGGTCGAGTCGACCAAAACAGGACCCGTCTGCGGTACCAGTAGCAACACGGGAATCTTCACATGAATGTAGTTGCTTGACAGTCCACCCCCCGCAGGCAGCCGGTACATGTAGGCCTAGCGCTCGTGTGTAGCCTTCCTTGGTTGCCTCGGTTCCACCCTCTTATACGGCATGCTTTGCTCGGCGCATCCGGCATCCAGTGCTGCCTGTAGCTACCTAGTAACAAGAGGAAGCAAAGTTTCTCAGGTTGGTTGGTTAACTCGCCACCAGGACCTCTGTGGAAACGTCATTCGTGGCAAAATACTTAGGAGACGATACACCGAGGAATAGGAGACGATCGAAATGATTTAAGAGACGAAAGCAATCGTCTCCTATATTTAGGAGACGATTCAGTAGGAGACATTACAATTAGGAGACGAAAATTTCGAAATAGGAGACGATCCGAAAGATTTAGGAGACGATACCATACAGTTTACATGATACACTTAAGAGACGATCCGTTGAGAATAGGAGACGAAACGTTGAAAATAGGAGACGTTTTAAGAGGAGACAAAAGATTTAGGAGACGATCCGTTTCGTCTCCTATTTTTAGGAGACGAAATCCATTAAATAGGAGACGATCAAAAGGATTTAGGAGACGAAAAGTAGCACGACTTGAGTTTCCGCAGAGGTCCAGTAGCTGTAGTGACTTGCTTTGACTCGATTCGACTCTGACTCGACTCTCTCCACGTACCGTTACACCGCTAATGTCCAGAAGCTGGCCGGCTATCAAAGATCTGCAGGCCAAGCCCGCTCAAGCTGCGCAAACGTTGATTTTCGAAACACTTGAGGCAGCGAGTCTCAGTCTGAGTCGTGGATTCTCATGTTTCGGCGGAAACAGCAAAGAAAGAAAGCGAAGGCCCTCGACCTGGCGAGAGACTTGAGAAAAGATCGATGGAAGACATCAAAGAAGAATCAACAACAGACCCAACAAAGAAGACGACCTAGCTAGCTAGTGCCCAAGCAAAGATGCCTCCTTCGCAGTCCTCAACCGCTTGCTCGATTTGCTGCGAAGAAAACAAGCCCAATCTGGTTGCTCTGACAAAATGTAGCCACGTGTCGTGTAGCGATTGTTTGGTCCAGTGGGTGACGAGGGTAGAGTCGACGGGTCAGCTGAGTCTTCCGGGATGTCCCTTTTGTCGACTGCCATTGTCCGAAGAAGAAACCCACATCATTCTGGGGCGGCCCTTCTGTCCCGCCACGGCCGCCGCTGCACCCGGGTCTGTGGGACAAGAAGAAGAAATGGACGACTTGACGCGTCAATTGCTGGAACAGCTCCATGTGAAACCATGTCCTCGCTGCGGAGCTTGGATTGAGAAGCTCCCCGGTGGTTGCGACATGATGGAATGTCTATGTGGCTATAGGTTTTGTATTGGCTGTGGTTGTCCGGATGCAAGGTGTGGCTGTACGCCTGACACACACTCCTTTTGGGATAATGTTCTGGACCGAAATGCGGGGAGGACTCAAGCCCAGGAAGCCTCACGTGACGAGGAGACTGGACAAATTAATCTGGCCAAGCACATTGAGCTGCGCAAGAAAAAGGACAAGGAAGATCAGGTCAGACGACAAAGAGCCGACAAGCGTCAACGACAAGCCTACGAAATTCGCACGGCGGATCCACTGGTCTATTACAGTGCCAAGTGGTTGTTTGGCACCAAGACACGTGACGCAACCACTCGGATGCTCCAGCAGTTGCTGGCCAAGCCCAGGATACAAATGGAACGACAAACCAAACAACGACAACAAGCTAGAGATTTGCGGGACGTTGACGAATTAGTTTCCACGGCACGATGGCTATTTTTGCCAAGCACAAAGGGAGCCTTTTTGGTACTAGAACAGCTCAAGCGACGATCCACCTACTACACAAGGTCGCGCCGTAAAATCATGCGACAATCGGAACAGCAAACCATTGATGCGCTCACATACAGCGCCAAATGGCTCTTCTTACCGCCTACTGCGGCTTTCCGCATGCTCGCACAGCAGCGACAAGCCGAACGAACACGACAAGAACGAGACCGAAAAGCACGCAATACAGGAAACTTTATCCAGATCAAAGACGGAGAATTACCAGAAGGTATTATTGCCAGTGGAAGTTGGTTGTACAAAAAGAAGACAAGCGCAGCCACTGCGGAACACATGAAGCGACTCTTTATGCATCAAACCAAAGCGGCGAGAGCCAGGTTCAATCGACGTTTTAGCAGCTTTGGAGGAGGACTCTGTGACAACCCAGGTTGTACCGAGTGCTGCTGGGATGGTCGTATGATTTCCTGCAAGGGAAGCGGATCGAGTGGTGGTGAAAAGGAGAATGCAATGGTCCTTCGGTTGATGTTCTTGAGCACCGAGGAAGATTTAACGGAAGAAAAGCAATCGATTGCCAAGTATGGATTGTAGGAGATGAAACGAAAGAATGATGACAAGTGGTGCGATGACTCTATGCGTAGGAAATTGGGTGCGCTGATGACATTAGCCGGCATCCTAAAGTACATGCTTAGCTTATTACATTATTTTCATGGTACGGTTCCGGCGTCGACGGAGGCAGCAGTGACTGCGCATTTATCCTTATCAATGTTGCGCCAACGCGGGGCCTTCTAGCGACGTGTTCCATTCGAGCCAATTCACAACCTCACAAAAATCGTTTTGGGAGCAGGCGGGTTATTGTGTCTTCACAAGTTTGTCGTGGCTCAGTTCTGGGCTGCAGACGGAGCTCGGAACACCGCACGTACACGATGAGAACGAGGAGGGACAGCCGCAACCGCAATCCCATAGGCACAACGAAAACGCCACCATCTCGTTTAGCTTGCTGTGGCTCCACGCCTTCAGAAGGTCTCGACCGTTCGGATCGATCAATCCTCCTACAAATGATCAAGTCACATCATAAGATGATACAGCAGTTCTCCTGTCGAACAGCTGCAGTGGTTATTTTGGTGGTCTTGGTAACAGTAATGGTTGTGGTTTTGTTTCCTTCTACAATTGTGGATTTGGTGGTCGTAATCACCTCTTCGCCATCTGGGATGGAGTGCCTTGTGACATTGATGTCCTCATCCGAAACGGTTTGTCGAATGGTGGGCGGTTCTTGTTGAGTGGATTCCGTTGCAGCAGCCGCAGGGGTTGGGACTGTAGGGACTGTAGGTGTTGTTGGGTGAGGTCGTTGAGTGGATTTTGCGGCAACCGGAGTAGCAGGAGCCTTGTGTGTTGCTGGACTGGGCCCTTCTGTGGGTGCAGCAGCGACAGCAGAAGATTTCGGTGGTGTTGCTGGATGCATAGTTGCTGTTTGTGGTGTAAAATAGTTATCAACGGATTCATCCAGAGCCTGAGAGAAGGGAGCAGGAGTTGACTGCGCAGATGCCAGGGTTGTTGACGCTGTGGGTGGAGTAGACGCAGATGCCGCTGCAGCCTCAAACTTTGTCTTGGGTGTAGCCAACGCCGTGTCACCAGGTTCAAAGATATCTCCGAGCTCCAAAGCCAAGTCGAATGTATCCATGGCACAAACAACAACCCATTGCATAAACTCGTCCTTCGCTGAAGCTGGCAAGGCAGGGAAGGGCAGGGCAAGTCATGTAGTGAGGGAATGGATGACGAGAGGTATGGGCGTGAGGCCACCATTCAGCAACGAAATATTGACAAGCAAGTTGATACCTACCTATTGAGTCTTCTTCCTTCAGTCTCGCTGCACGGGTGGGACTATTGGGACCAACATCTTCAACCACACCGTCCATTGTTTTCCAAATGTCACCATCTCCTAGCTCCATCTCCAACCGCGCTGTCCTTGGATCGATGGGATATTCATGTCTCTCGAATATCAGTTTTGGCATTCCGGCACGTCCTCGCGGAGGATATGGAACTTGGGCTCTTGTTTGGGGCTGATCGTCAATTTCTTGCTTTCGTTCTTCTGGTCTTCTAGGGAAAACAATGTCTTCGGCACTTGGGGGCGTGGGCACTTGCGATGGAACTTGTGGGGCTACTCGAGCAGGTGTTTGTAGGGCTGGTGCAGGAACTGGGGCGCCAAACTTTGGTGGCGTGGCAACGACTGGAGTTCTTGCTGCAGACACCGGGGTCCCCAGAACGGGGGCACCCAGAACGGGGGCACCCAGAACAGGGGCACCCAACATTGGCATATCATAATTTACTGAAGCCGGGCCCCCATAACTTATCGAAGCCGGAATTGGAGCCGGGACAGCAGCTCGGACGGGGCCACCCAGAACTGGGCCGCCCATTAATGCTGGAGCTGGAGCTGTCGCTGGTGCGCCCAGTACTGGAGCCCCGAGGACAGGAGCTCCATAAGGTGCTGGGGCCAATGGCATCGGTGCCTGGGCAGGTTGCGGTGGCATGTTCTCAGCTCCTGGAGCGACAACTCTGACTTGGTCGGACTCAGCTTGCTTCTCGTTGCTGTTGGCTCCTGGGTTGTCGTAATCTACAAATTTGCTTGTCTCTGCCTCGACATGTCGCAACACTGAAGACGGTGGCGTTGGCAACATCTTGGGTCTTCAGCGATTCGGAACAACTCGTTGGATATGGTTTCGTTGGATATGGTCTTCAGCTACGGTACCACACGAGTTTGCCACTGCCAGGTACTACGGTACGGCTGCAACTAGTAGGAGCCATAGACAAGAGGACTTGCCGCTTGCCAGAACTGTTGCAAAGTTGCTCCCTCTGACAGTGGCATCGCCAAGAGATCGTTTCTCTTCACGAATTTGGCTGTGAAATCCTCCGAAAAAAGTGGTTTGCCAATTATGCCAATACTCGGGACTGACGAAAGTAGTTGAGTCAAGTCATGACAGGGGCCCGCCCGCTCCTCGGTATCCATACCGGTACAGTCGTACGTACGGCTAGCTAGCTACTGTAGCTGGTGCCGGTACCGGTAGCTACGATCCCTCCTTTCCATTTTTAACTTAGGAATTAGTTAGAAAGTCCCCGGACCTTCCAACATCTCCCCCCGAATGATCACCGCGGTTTTTCCTCTACAAACTATTGGCTACTCTAGCTAGCTACCAACTAGCTAGCTTTACATTTGGTGAAGGAGCCTACATCGTGCGCTGATCTGCCTGCTTGCTTGGGAATAGTTTCTTGGTTTCGGATAGCTTTCAATAGCTAATAAAGGCATGTGCAAATAGATCTGCTGGATACTGCAGCAATCTATTGACTCTTCAGCTTTTGCCATTCAACGCACTTTACCTGATGACTACCCTGTAGGCCTACCGGTAGCTAGACTCTTCATTTTGGCACTTTGATGCAGCCACAAAAAGGACGCCCCCCAGTTTCGAAAAGCCCATTTGTTCTTGGGGGAACACCCTTTGGCTGGCAGACTGGGCGAAGAGTCAGCTATTACCCAATAGCGGTACGGTACAGCGCAGCGAGCCAGGAAATTTCGCTCCGTAGATCTAGTATCAATAATGCTATTGAGTAACAGTTACTTACTTTTGCTATGAGACCTGCGAGGAGGTAGAGTTGCGGTGCACCCCAGCCAACAATTGTCGCACTTTGAAAAAGTGACGTGTAACCTTGATCGCTTGTCGTCCAACTCGTCGGATCTTTTTATCGTTTCATAGAACACTTAGATAAGTGATGGCTACGCGCAAAAGCCGACATTTATGGTACTTAGACTTGGCGCACCGTCAGGTTGCTTTATATGCCGCAAGTAGACGTTGATTGTCACCTACACATGTGGTCTCGTTGAGACTTTGCGGGAAAGAGAGCTTGATGTAACTAACTCTCGTCTGTGCTGATGCATGATCACTCTATCCTCTTATCTTGCAACCTCTTATCGTCAGATCAATCGTTCGTCTCTGACCCACCAAATGATCCATTGACGATACCGGTAGCATCACGATGATTCATCGCCACAGTCCTTCCGCTCGCAATGGTATCCCCACATTGATCATGGCAATCTTTTGCTGGCTTGTGTTCGTCACGTGGGCTGTTGTTGAGGCAGTCAATCCATCTGAAGACGAGGCAAGAAGTTCCGGTGGTTTGGGTGATTCGAGTCTTCCACTGGCAGTATCCTTGTATCTAGAGAGCCCCGAGACTGCCATTGAACTGTGGGGTCCAATATCCGACTGGGATACTCAGCATGTTACCACTTTGGATCGCTTGTTCGAAGGAGCCATCAATTTTGACGAGGATCTCAGTCATTGGAACACGGACAAAGTGACCAGCATGGAATATACGTTTGCCGGCGCCGCACACTTTAACCAGCCTCTCAACACTTGGAATGTCGCCAAAGTCAGCTCCTTGTTTGGAACCTTCAATGGCGCATCAACCTTCAATCAGAATCTTAACAAATGGGATACTTCAAAAGTCACCGATATGGGATCCACTTTCAAGGGAGCATACGAGTTTGATGGGTCTTTGAACGGCTGGAACACGACCTCTGTGAGAAACATGGAACGCATGTTCTATGGGGCTTCCTTCTTTACCGATCAGCGCAACTCGCTCAAGAAATGGGATGTCACCTCTGTCACTACCATGCACAGTATGTTTTCAGGCGCAACGGCATTTGCAGGTGATATTACAACCTGGAAACCCTGGTCGGTGACAAGCTTCATGGGCATGTTTGCTTACACGGCATCCTTTGATCAGGACTTGAGTGGCTGGGATGTGTCCAGCGCCATTTTTATGGATCGCATGTTCTATCGGGCTGTCGCCTTTGAGAGTGAACTTTGCTGGGATGACTCCATTTCAGACGGTACGTACACCCATAGGAATCAATCGAATCACTCTTGACTTTCGCACTAACCAATGTCGCGTACCCATGCCATTTTGCCTGATACCGGTACCTTCAAAACAACTAAACCACACAATCTACAATCATGACAAACAAAAGGTGTCTCGGGTAGCGAAATCTTCTGCGGTAGCTCTGGAGAGTTTACTCTTGAGTGTGTCGTTATACCATCCGGCTCGGAAGATTATTGTCCCGAAACCTATGACGAGTTTGAGGAGGATGAAGAATTGAGGGACGGCCTCACACAACAGCGAGAACAAGAGACTCAGAGTCAAGAAGCAGCGATACCTGTAGGAGACGGGAATTCACCAGGTTATGGTGGATCAGGAGGCATTGGAGCATTAAATCCTGGAGGCATGGGACGAGATCATCCCGAATACACAGCCAATTTGAATGGCTGGCAAAACAGTCCAACAACGACAACAACAGAGGAACAAGAAGGAGAAGAAGTCGTACCAGCAGCTGCTGAAGATAATCCCGGCGGTGCCCCTCTTGACC